GTGGCAATAAGTACCTTCCAAGATCATATTACCTCTTTTAATTTTTTTTTAGTTCTGAATATGTTGACAAAAAAATAGAAGAATTCTTTGCACACTTTGAGGAAAAACTCCAGAATTTGTCTGAAGAAGAATTTCTTACTCAGGTATAGATTATATAAATTATGATTTAGATCATAGAAAGGTAACCTTATGATCACCAATAGTTCAAATCTCATTAATCTTAGTTTACTTAATGGCAAAACAACTGGAGGATGTCAAGTTACTTGTCCCCAATTTAAATAGCACATTATTTTCAAGCAATTTGTAGCAGTCACCCTGGGTTGTCATAAGAGCTGTCTAATCTGCACTAATTAATGAGTTAAATTTAATCCCAAGCAGATCTTGTTGATAGGTATTGGTTGACTTTCTTATTCTGAGATTGACACAATGTCCTAGAGAGGAGTCATGACAATGGGGCCACTCTAGAAACACCCACTCCTATCCGCTTAGTTGTTCTTACTCCTGCTGTGAGTGGCAATTGAGAAAGAAGGAATATGCGTATTCTGTTTTTAACTTCACTAGGCCACCCAGAGTCATTTTTGAAGCTGGGTAGTCTAGCAATTGGCTAAATAAATATTTCCTTTTGCAAACTGTAAGGAATAGTATGTTTCACAGGTCTCGGCTCTAATCAAGCTTAAGCGCACAGATGACTCCCATCTTGGAGAAGAAGTAGACAGAAACTGGAATGAAGTGATTACTCAACAATATGTCTTTGACAGACTTGCCCGAGAGGTAATAAATGGAAAGGATTACTAGTTTTCGTTCTTTCAAAATTTGTAAAGCTTTATGTAGGCAAAATATGCATGCAGGCATGCATACATTCACATACACTTTTTATAATTAAACCATAAAGGCAATCTGGTTCATAATCAGCAAAAATGGAAAATTGAGACATTTTGTTCTGCTGGTCTGAAGGGACAGAATTGGAGCTTAAGTGGTTCCCGACAAATGGTGAAAACATGGTTAAAATGGAAAGATAGGAGATCTAGGCTTCTTAAAATCATGTTCCGTGAGAAAAATAAATACACAACTCATCACAAGTGTCAACGAACAGCTTGTTTTCCACATGAATATTATCTCATTGTAGGTCATGTGTGAGACAGCAGCAACTGAAGCCTTCAAAATCTTAAAAAGTGGTTAATGGGAAAAAGTCTTAAATGCAGCCTTCACTGCTGTATCTTTTTTTAGTTGGGATTAGTGAAAATAAACATTGAGTCTGCCTTTCTACTCTTAACCCAGAAGAGTCTCTTCTGATCCATTATACTTCTAATCCTCGCATGTTTCTTTTTTCCTCTTTTTGTTATATGTCAAAACTATGCATTTATGAGAGCCAATTCTCAGTCCCCAGGGTATTGCAAATATATAATTGTTGCAAAGCAGGGATCTCAAAAGACAATTCCTCTACCAGGAATGTGTGTCTGCAGTATATTTTGCTCATTCAGATTATAGGTTTTTACTTGGAAGTGTCCCTTAATGGGCATACTTAGGACTTCAACTCCAAGGTGAAGCATAACATACAATAAAGAAGAGATTTATTGTAGTATTCAAAATGTGACAAAATAGCATAATAGCAGATTTTGGTTCTGATAAAATGTTATTAAGTAATTTAAGCTTCCATCCTTCTTCTACTATGAAATTACAAATAAGAAACATGACATTCTCAGGCATTTGGCATTCAGGATCTGACTGACCTAAGCTTTTTAATTTCACTAGATATACATGACACTGTTTTGGACATCTTTTCCCCTCAACATCAGACAAAGCTTGATCAGTTTCCATTTTTCAATCCAAAGAAAAATGAGAGCTTCTTTTTGACCAAACAAGGAAGGAAGGAAGGAAGGAAGGAAGGAAGGAAGGAAGGAAGGAAGGAAGGAAGGAATATCAAAGAAAAAGATGGCAAAAAAATGGAATGAAAGAAACTTCAGAGAGGCATACCATCATTTGGCCAATAGACAGATTCATCTATTATTATATAACAGAGTGTATCTATTGAATCTTTCAATTAAGGAAAGGCTTATATTTCTTTCTAGGTCTATATTTTTGTTCTCTTGTAAATTTACTACTGTATACTGTCTGGAATTACTGAGTTGGGCAGCCATACAAATTTTCTTAAATAAAATAATAAGAGTTCATTATGAGTAAGTGGCAGCAAGAACGCTGCAATTATTTCTGATCATAAACAACAAAATTGAGTCAAAGGGGTTATACTGTAAAACTTGCATAACTTTGCTTGGTGATTCTAAGGAATTCTGTTCTCTGTGACTTATAGATTGTAGCACTAAAAAGCCTTACTAGAGCCCAGTTGATTGACTGGTTCCTACATTTCAGGAGAAAGCATAGGAGAGTTTTGAGCATCCATGTAAGTATTTCCAGAAACACTTACAAACTTAGGGAGTCAAGTAATTTTTTTAAAAAAATGATTGTGTTTGCTGGACAACAGACTTTGCTTACCTTTCTTCATTCCAGTTATTTGCTGATCTTAAGTAACCTTTTGATTTTTGAATTTTCAGGTGACAGGCTATGGTAAACAAGAAGGAGATTTGAATGTTAGACCTTCTTCCGTTGTCCAAGAGTCTATGTTTAGCAGAGAACCTCAACTGACCTTTTTGCCTTCTTCTCCTCTGTTGAATATCCCCTCTATACTGGACATCAGAGCTTTCATCTCAACTCTTAACATTTTTCCTTACCACAAGATACTAAAGTAATCTACAAGATACTAAAATAAACTTTCATCAACTCATTCTCAAGCTTGCTGGTGTCATGGTTTCACAGTCTGGCACCCACAATTATTTTGCAGACAACATTGTTCGAGGAACTGAGGAAAACAGGATAGAAAAATCATGTGGAATTTTTTTTTCACCATATCCTTAGTCTCTGTTTTCCTCCCATTTTTTCCTCTCTTCTTTTTCTACTTCTTTTATGTTTGCACTCACATTTCTTTAACTTCTTTCTCTTTGGGGCTAAGTAATTAGATAATGCAGGTTATTGTTGCTTATGTCCTTAAAAGCTGTAGTGAAATAAGGAGTCCTTGATGCTCTCTGAGCTTGGTTGCCCTAATTGGGATATTGAAACAACTGCAAGAAAATAACCAAGTTCAGAGAACACCAAGGACCCCTCATTTCAACCCTCAGTTGCAAATATTCTCCTTAGTGTAGCAAAAGGCATGACCTGGGATAGTGTGTATGTAAATGTATGTATGTATGTATGTATGTATGTATGTATGTATGTATGT